TCATCTTGAATGTTGAATTTTCAATACAACTGAAATATTTGAGAGAACATCACATAAGATAACATCATAAATTGATGTTGATTTTCCTAAAATGTGTTTTTTTTTTACTCACCATTATAGTGATTAACATTCCCTTTGGTTGGGCACTTGGAACTTTATTTGTGTTACTGTAGTTGTTTTCCTGTTAATGCAGCAATGCATCATGAAGTCAGAGTTATTTGATTTGAAAAGAAAGAAAAGTAATAAATAGGTTGCTTTTAGTTGGTGACCTATCTTCTAATTAAAGCATTAGTGTATGTTGTTGTGTATGTTCATGAATGAGCTTTTTCTAATTTCATTTTTCATAAATACCTTGAGATGCTTTTAACTGGATTTATATAATCCTTAAATAGTGTGTGGTAATATGCTGAAGTAACACACAGACTTAACATTCAGCATGTGAACCACAACAATGATAACAATTCAATTTCATTTATTTTCATTAGTTGTAACAATAACCATTGTATTTGGTCTTTTTGTTGTGCTACTACTGACACAAGACAGCAAATAAAATTGGCAAATAAAATCAACTGTAAAACGAAGCAACTATATAATTTATTCTGCCGAAATGCACTCTGGGAGTCAGTGAGTAGCTATACTAAGTCATGAGTAAACCTAAATGAAAGGATCAAGAACCCCCCACAGTTCTTTTTTAGTTACTAGAACTCTCGTGTAAGTAAACTATACTAACTAAGCATTTGTCAGTGCAACATATTATTCCTATTTCACTTTACTTAGTTTTTTCAAGGCAATCGGTTTGCATGCTTTTTTTAAGTAAGCCCAACTAATTAGATTTTACAGTGCAGTAAATAGTGGTTGTATCATGTCATTGCCTTTCCATTTGATTCCTGGTGTCAGAATTATATGAAAAAGTGGGTTAATTTGTCTTTGTATGTTGTATGGTTCAGGAGTTATGGAAATCTGTGTTTTTCACCACTTGTGATGACATCATTTCAAGATGGCCGCCAAATGAACCCCATGGGACATTAGTTGACCTCGGCAACATCAAAAATTCTTAACTAGACACCATTAGGGTCCCAAAAAAACAGGTTACAAAAAACTGCCAAGCGGGTGCATGGGAACTTATTCTTCTTGCTCTACTATAATGTTAAATAAAGACAAGTAAAGAGTAGTAAAGTAGCTCCAGCCCTAAACAAACACACATGAGCAAACTGTAACGAATCAGCTCATGAGGAAATATGAATAATTAATCATAACTAGTTATAATTAATTATGAATATTTAGATCCGCTGTAGATATTTAGCTGACCTCTCAGGGTCAACTGTCTTGTCAATTCTAAGAACGTTAATTTCCTGGTTAAGGGAAATAACTTTCTTACTGTACAATTCTACAAAAGCTTGTAGCATAAATCTGCATGATTAAGTGACTCCAGTTATAAGCAAACAATGAACCACGTCAAGTGTGATACAAGTAAGGTTTTATTAACTACACAAACACTTAAACTAGTCTAACAGACTACATAAACACATAAACTGGTCTAACATACACATACACACACACACACACACATACAGTTGGTATAGGAAAGGGTTAAAGCTTAACTCAGTACAGAGAAGAGACATAAGGAATGAAATTTATGGAACCATTTGCATATTCAGCAGATCTACACCTGAGGGAAACGTCAGATTCTTAGTTCAAACACACCTTGGTAAAAAGGTGCAACTGATACCTAATGTATCAATTAATAAGACTAAGTTTGATACTTGCAAGTCTCGTCTGTCTGAAAGAGATTCCTGATGCAGTCTTAAGGCCCAAGATCTTGCTGAAGTTGGTTGATGAAAAAGAACCAGTTTGAGTCAGAGAATCTTGGTGAAATGGAAAGGTCGAGGCCGAAGCCTGGCACAAGCTTAGGGTTTCCGCGTGCGTTTTTCTCACATCCTCTCAGAATTAAAACAAACCACCGACTCACTGGGAGGGTCCCTGGTAAGGGCCTTTAAGTATGAAGAACTGATTTGTTAAATCAAATGAAAAATTGTGTGTTTGATTGGTCCAGACATTACAAAGCTAATCAGGGTCTTCAGGATTATTAGTACGTTACTGGCAGGTGAGTTTGATCAAAGTTGGAGCTAAACTCTGCAGGAATATGAACCTCGAGGGCCAGAGTTGAGAACTCCTGGTGTATGACATCAAAGTAGCGCTAGAGCAATTCGAAATCATATGGAGCCGTCTGCTCTCTAATTGCTCTCACGGTACTTTGATGTCAAACACAGATCAGTCTGTGCAGCGCTGCTTCAAGTGTAACACAACTAAGGAAGTCACGCCCTGTTTTGGAGTTTCCACTAATTTCGTTAACGAAATCTATCACGAAAAATGTTCGACAGCAAAGTTTTTTCCCCTGGCAAAAACGAGACGATGACGGGATGATAATAAGATCATTAAACGATAACTGAGACTATATCCGCATGAAATATTTTTGACGAAAAAAGACGAGACTAAAATGTATTTAAAAGAGCAAAAACTTTACCAAAACCTTTTTCTTTTTGTTGGAAAAAGTGAAGCCAAAACATTTCAGACTGCTGTACAAGACTCTATTATGCGAGTGTTCAAGTTTGCGGTTGCCAGATATCAAGAGCTCAAATCCCCCAATCAGCTTTTCTGTTAAACGGATAAGTACTCTGTCCGGCTTTTTGCTTTATGCAATCTGACAACCATTCACACGTGCTCTCTCTGCGGAGGCGCCATGATCTGAAAACACCGACATACTACTGTACAAGTTAGCTGGAGTTCAGCGTTCTCCATTTGAGGTATTCTGCTTAAATGAAAGTGTCATTCAGCCAGTCTGTGTTCTGTCATGGATCTCGACTCTATTGTTTGCGATTGTGGTTGCTAATTGAAACGGTTACTTACATAGGGTTTCCAACTTCAGCAAGGCAAAATAAGGGACACCATTCACCCCCCTCCCTCCCCCTCCCTCAAAATTTTAATAAAACAATAGGCTGATACATTTAGAAGCATGGTCTGTCACTTTAAAGGTATGGTTCACCCAAAATTTTACAATGAATTTTCCTCAAAATATTTACATAATCATTTTATGTTTGACTAGGTGTAAGATCTCAGTCTCG